AATTCACTGTAATGTATTGATGGTGGGGAAGCTAGTTCCTATGCGCATTTCGCCGGTTGCTTAAGCCAGCTCATCAGGAAACCTTTCCCAATATTTTAGGAAAACTAGAAATGTCTTATGAAAGAATTATTTTAAACTCAATAAGAATTCAAAACGCATCTTTCACAAAACATTAAAGTTTTGACAAAACACCAACAATAACAGTGAGTTTATTTTTTCTTACATTCCTTTCTACACTTGGCTGGTTGTTTTCCAACTCTAAATGCAGTTGTAAGGGAAAAAATAAAAACAAAATAAACAACTTCTATTTTGTTGTTTTTTTTTAAAAACAACAGAATAGGGTATTCAGTTTTAAATGCACGGGCACTTGCAAATTTAATTTAAAAATTGATTTCGGGATTTTTATTATTTTTTCAAATAAGTTAAAGAGTTTCTTATCGTGCTTTCAACCCCAATTTTTAAATAAATTCACTGTAATGTATTGATGGTGGGGAAGCTAGTTCCTATGCGCATTTCGCCGGTTGCTTAAGCCAGCTCATCAGGAAACCTTTCCCAATATTTTAGGAAAACTAGAAATGTCTTATGAAAGAATTATTTTAAACTCAATAAGAATTCAAAACGCATCTTTCGCACATTAAAGTTTTGACAAACTTTATCTTATGAAAAAAAATTTGTTAGACAACAAATTTTGTTTCAAATACAGAGTCATGTGTTATTGTTCATAAATTTGAATGTGAAATATTTAATGACCCTGTAACATTTACAAATACGGATCGATTTTGATGAAATACATTTTTTAATTATATATGACTTAGTAAAGTAAAATTATACCGATTATAATAATTTTCTTTTTATATAAACAAAAATATTTAAGTTTGAATTTTCAAATTTTAATTTTTGACCATGACTTAGCAATCTTTTTTTACAAAAAAGATCCCTATTAACGAAAGCGAAAACAATTTATTTAATGCTAATTGATATTTTATACCTTACTAGCTATACCCAGTGTGCTTTGCTACCCTAAAAGCAAAAAAACCCACTTAGTACATATGGGATATGCCATAGAAATTATTGCAAGTAAGCTATGAAAAATGTGAATAATATTGTATTGTATTTAATTCATATGGGAGCGGCCAATCCCCCCCCATTGAAAGTCCACCCATTTTTCTCTAAATGTTCACATGAATGTCAAAGTTTTTCATGTAAAATTTTAAGATTCTAGCTTCTAGAGTATCTCAAATATACAAATATGTCTATATAATTCACATGGGGGTTCCAAGCCACCCCCTAATGAAAGTCCGCTTTTTTCCTAAAATGTTCAGATGAATATGAAAGTCCTTTGTGCAAAATTTTAGGAATCTAGTTCTAATTTTAATTTCTTAGATAAAAGATTTTTTTGTATTTAATTCACATTAGAATTTATGTTTAAAGTTAAAACATATTATGATCATTATTAGTATCAAAAAATATCATATTATGATCATTATTTTTATAATAAGATATCATATTATGATTAAATATAATCCTAATTTTCATCATAATATAGTTTTATTAATCATAATGTGAATGTGCTCGGCGTAAATTGAAATTATTTTTTTAGTTTTCTTTTAAACAAACACAGAACTTCCAAGCACTGGTACTCTCATAAATAAAAATTAGTATATCCACACTTTCATGTCAATATCAAGATAATTTATACTTTTTTTATTATTAATTTTTTATGTACCATATTATAAACTTCGTTTGTTCAACACTTTATTTAATCCGATCTAGTACAGATAAACCATTGAAGTGATATAAAAATGGCGATACCGAAATATTTTTAATAGTAAATTATTTTGCTTATATCTTAAACATTATATGGGTAAACATGTAAAAACCTACCATTTAATGGTTATTTGAAAGTTTTAATAGTTCTAAATAACATAATATGTTTACATAGTTATCATTATTTATTTGTTGTAAAAAAAATTTATATTTCAGAGAATCATTCTCAAATTTATAATTGTCATAAACATATAAATGTTTACAGGAACTAAACTAATAATAAAATTCAATAAAAATAACAATTGTTTGGTTATGACAACAAAATATTGTTACAAAAAACATAGCATAGTTATTCTAACCATGCCGAACCATGTTTTTCTCTGCGTACATACGGGAGCCGCTCCCCTCATTGGTAATCCGCCAATTTATTACCCAAAATATTTATATGAATGCTAAAAAATTTGAAGGTTTTAAATCTAATAGTTTCCAAGATAAAAAAAATTTTTGTATTTAATTAATATGGGAGGTGACACGCCCCCTGCTGATAGTCCGCCCACTTTTTATCCTAAATAATCATATTGCGACATATGTGCTCCGGCAAAATTTTAGGACTTTAACTAACTGAGATATTCTGATTTAATACTTTCTTAATATGGAAGGTGCCACGCCCACAATAGTCATTTCGCCCATTTTGTCCAAAAATATTCTTATGGATGTCAAAATTGTCCGTGCAAAATTTTAGGACTCTAATTGACCAGTTTCCAAGATATACGAATTTTAATAGTTATTTAATAAGTAGACGTGGCACCTGAAATTTCAAAATAAAAAGTAGCATATTTTTCCTTCCAGGCATACAGGAACTCACTGTGAAAATTTCTAGAAAATCGGTTTAGCCGTTTAGGCGCCTATAGACTTCAAACAAACATACATATATTCATACATACAAACCAACACACATCCGCCCATTTTGTTCATATATACGTTAAAGTCGTCCATACAAAATTTGAGGACTCTAGCTCTTTAAGTTTTAAAATAAAAAGTAGCCTATAGTTCCTTCCAGATATACAGGAAGGTACTGTTAAAATTTCAAGAAAATCGGTCCAGCCGTTTAGCCGTCTATAGACTTCAAACAAATAAACACACATTCATTTTTATATATATAGATTAAATAATATAGAAAAAAATTTTTTCAATTATCTTTTCCGGTTACGCAGTCAAAATTTTACAAAGTCAAATTCTGCATAATGTTCATTATATGTTATGTAGGCGTTTTTCTTTAGGTTTTTTGCATATGATATTTTTGTAATTAGGAAAACAATGAGAAAACTTTAAAAAAATCCTAAAATTTAATGGTATGTGGTAAAAAAAATATTAAATTTATTTATACATGCGTTTTATTAAATTAGTTGTAATATTTATCTGAATTATAGACTAGAAATGTATAAAAAGATGAAATAGCCATATAAATTGTATGACATACCCGGGTATGTTGGGTATTGATGTACGTAATTTTCCTCGGGTATAGACAAGACGGTTAAATTAATTTTTTAGCGTAATATTGATAAAAATTATTATGATAACAAAATAAAATATTAATAACTGATTTTGAATTGCATTAAAATTCATTCAGAGTAAAAATACCCATTATATACTAAAATCCGTTAAAGTAAGATTTTAAAATAGACTAGATATTACTATTTTTAACAACTATTATATACAAAAACCTAATAAAATTAATGGTATTTTTAATATTTATTTGTTTAAAATTCACGTTTTATTTAAATCCTAAGATAATACCAAATTACAGTAAAATATTACAATACCTATATTAGAGTTACATGAGTGAATTGGATGCAATTTTTCATTCGTTCACTTATGACAAATTTATTAGAATATAGGAATGTATTTAAAACGCTTTAAATTGAATAGGTAATCAAGAAATCGTGAAAGCATGCCTTCTTCTTAAACAGCTTAAAATTTTTTTGCTGGGAAAGTGTTTATGTATTACGGTATTCAAACAATTAATCGTCGATAGGTTAATCGATCAATTTTTCACGATTAATCGTTCGAATAAATTTAAATTGCCAAATTTCAAATACCGAATAAACCGAACAATTTCTATCAATTAACCGATTAAGAAAAAATTACTATATGACAGTAAAACTGCTGTATATTTTATACAAAATTCAATATTTGTATAATAATTTTTTTTCTTTATTAATTCCTTAATTAATTTCTATAATGAAGAAAATTTATTTGATGATTTCATTAACAATACTTCAGGAACATTTTAAGGATTTGTTCTGATTTACCTACTTCTAGAATGTGTTCATACAGAAACATTTCAGATTCTTGAAAAGTGATCTTGGAATTCGCCTTTACTTCTACAACCAGTTTTCAGGAACATTGTTGTGTTTCTTAAGAATTTGTAATAAGTTCTTCAGCAATAGTTATACACTAGTTCAATGGAGCGTATTAATTCTGGAACTTTCATAATTGTTCACGTATTTTTTAGTCAGCAATGATCGTTAAAGTAATTTTCTTATGGACCGATCCTCAATAAATTTGGTAGAGAGATTTTAACTCGTATAAAACATATGTATGTCGAATTTCATAGCTTTTCTCGTATTTTTAAGCCAGTAATGAGCTCTAAAGTCATTTTCTGAAAGGAAGCTTATATGGGGTCAATCCTATGCAGATTCTCATAAAAAAAGGTTAATTTCTATACTCGTACTTTTAAGCCAGTATCTGAAGGGGATCTTATAGTGGGGAAAGGTCAATTATAAACACATGAAATTTGGTTAAGAGGTTCGCAAGGAACTTTCTTGGGTCGAATTTCATCGCATTACCCGTATTTTTAATCCAGTAATTTTCTGAAGGGGACCTTGAATGGCGGGTAGAGTAAATTATGCGCCGATCATCTTAGAATTTAATAAGGACCCAGAATATATATACTTTTATGGGTCTATGACCAATATTTCAATGTGTTATAAACGGAATGAAATATGGTGGATATAAAAATTTACATAGATTTGAATTCAAAGAAGTGTAGAATTATAATTTTGTGTGTTATAGGAAGAAAAATAATGTAAAAAAGCAACGGAATTAATAAAAAAAATTCAGTTTAATTTTATTCGATTAACCGAATAATTTTGAAGTATCCAATTAATTATTTGTCAAATAAACCGAATAAATTAAAAACCCGAATAATTGAATACACTAGTATCTATTAATTTATTTATTAGGTATTTTCTGTTTCCTTTATTTTTTTAGTTACACGATAGTAAAATAATGGTATGAAATGAATAATAAATACAAATATAAATAAATAAGATGAATGGGAAATCGAGTATCAACTACATATAAGTATACATACATATGTATGTACAATAGGTAGTGTTTTCAATAAGTTACTTATAATAAGGTTACATGTTTGATGGCTTTCAGACAATTATTTCCTAAAAAGCTAATAATTTTGTCAAACCAGTATTTAAAAATATGGTTGAGACTATAATAAAAGTAGTTAAATATATTAAATAAAAAACTACTGCAGCGGTACTCCGTACAGTTCATGCTTTGGTTCGTTATGTGATGAACTATATAAGGTAGATGTACTTACTGCATTACTTACTCCTCCAGACCTTATATCAATTAGTCCATTTCCATTTTCTGTAGAATGTGTGTCTATTGGTTTTTTATCTATTGATTTATTGTCGTCACCATCTTTGCGAGTTTTGTATTTGATAAAGTATACTTCTGGCTTGCTAGACTTGTATGTGGACTGCTGAATTTGTTCTAAAGAAGGAAGCTCGGGTTTTTTCACTAATACATAAACTAAAGTCTTTTCCTCTGTTTGTGGAGCAACTGCAGCTGCCAATTGACTGTAATTGGGGGTTGGATAAGATGGGGCTTTAATGAAAATTATTTTATAATGCTTCTTAGGTGGGCTGAACACTTGCTGCTGGTTAACAAATTTTGGTTGGTTATCCTCTTCCAGATCTTCTGGTGGGACATGTACATAAATATGTTTTTCAATAGATGGATCTAACGGAGCATTATCAAAAGTCTCACGTATCACTTGTCCTAGTTGACCATTTAGGACACCAACATTAAAGTCTAAGTTTGTATTCGTTGTTTGCTTAATGCTGTTGTCTGATTGATGAGGGTTTATGAAGGAACCTCCAGATGTCACTACAGAGTTAGCAATGTTAACTCCGACATTAGGAATTTGTTGTATGTTATGGTGTGTAGAGGTTGTTGCTGCCAAGTTGCTAGTATGAGCAAAAGAATTTGCATATGTGCCATCATGTTTATATCCTGTATTTCCGGTGCTGAATGCATGTACAGGCCCAGGAGCTATTGGTGTATAATTATTAATTTGCGCATTCGCTGCCACATTCCCTTGATTGTGCGAATATCCACTAAAAAACTGATTTGGAGGTACATTAATACTGGGGAGAAATTGTGTTGATACACTCTCCCCATTATGCAACTGTGGACTATACACGCTGGCAGCAGGCTCAAGATTGTGATTTACGCCGGTTTTATGGTTGACAATTCTACCTTGCGATTGCGACTGTATCAAGGACAATTGCGTATCCTCAATTGTTTGTGTTGCATGTTTACACGTCGGAACTTTTGGCGATCCGATCGATGGAAAACTCTCAATTACAGGTACCGGTTTTTTGTATTCATAACCTTGAGGTGCACTGAACACTGGAATTACCAAAGCGCTAATTATAACAAACAAATTCATTCCCTTTAGAGTTTCTACGACGAGTAATGATTATCGAGTGATTCACACCTTAAACTGCTCAAACTATTTATGCATCTATATATGTATGCACATATGTATGTAAGTATAAGTAGATACATAATCGTATATCTCAAAGAGAAAGAAATAGTGAAGGTGATCTGAACATGTATTATGAAACACTACTTCCAACAGCTTACGTTATATGTTGTATTTATTGAATTAAAAAACGTGCGTACAAACACACCTACATACATACATATGTATTTATTATTACATCTTATATCTTGGGTGTGCGTGAAATTCGGCAGATCGTCGTAGTCAAATTTAAGTTGCAAATAAACAACAATATACAGAAGTGTACAAAATATTAGCAAATATTGTATTGATTAGTAAATGAAGCAACTTATCTTTTTAAGCCAGCAATAGTTAATGCCTTTATTGAAAAAATACATTTTTTATCCACCCTTGATTTCCGTTTGTAACACATCAAATATTGGTCATATACCCACTAAAGAATATCGACAACTAAAACGCAAACGGCCCCATCTAATATTTTAAAAATTTTACAGGAGCAAAACCAATTCGAAATGAAAAAGTTTGTTTCAGACTGCGCGATTTATGTTTCCTCAATAAACAAACTGTTTAAAGGTAAAAACCTACAATTTGTTTTGATAGTTGGTACATATAAACGACCATTTAGGTCTTTAAGCTTTTACATATAATACATACATATAATAGCTTTTATAGATACGGTCGTATGAGTTTTATTTGACGATAACACATGTACACAACACGATCGTAAACATAACTAACAACAAGAGAGCAAAAAATACGAATATTTCATTCAGTTGCTTGACAGCATTCAATATGGTTCGATGATGTCGCTTTGGTTTAGAAATTCAAAACTTAATTTTAAAAACAAACATAATTTGCAAAAAAACAAGTACACTATAAATATATTTTTTGAATGCATAAAAGTGAAAGTAAATGAAAACATACTACATTAATTATTTTTATACCCTACACCACTATAGTGGGAAGGGTATTATGCGTTTGTTCTGATGTTTGTAACACATTAAAATATTAGTACTATACCCACCTTAAAGTATACCGATCGACTCAGAATCACTTTCTGCCCATTAAAACGTATGCCCATGAAAACGTTGTTATCAAAGTACAGGTCGCAATTTTCAAGATAATTTGATGAAATTTGGAATGCACGTTTTGACCCAAAGACAAAACCTATTGAAAATTGTTTAAATCGGTCCATTATTTCACCTAGCCCCCATACAACTGAACCCCCCGAAAGGGACTTTTGAGCTCATAATTATGTACAATATTAATGTATCTCGATGAAAGTTCGCACAACTAAGTTTTATACAAGCCTTGATGACCTTGCCGAATTTCGAAATGATCGGACTACATTTGACCCTAGCCCCAATAAAAAGCCCCCTTCAGAAAGTTACTTGAATATCCGCAATTCATTTATTAACACTGTTATTGTAATGAAATTTGGCACAGACAAATATTTATTAATACAAATCTATCCAGCCCATTTTATCGGGATCGGTATACATTTGCTCCTATCCCCCATATAAAACCTCTTTTAGAAAATTAGTTTCTCGTCAATAAATTGCTTAAATAAATCGGAATCAAGGTAATATTCAAGATAAATGCTTTTTTATGAAAAATAAATCACATTTCATATCCATAACTGGTGTTGGGTATCATATGGTCGGCCACGCCCGACTATACTTTCTTACTTGTATTTACTTATAAACTTCTTGTCTACACCCGAGCCAACTTACATGCACATACATATATATAGTACACCCAGTACAAAAATAAAAAAAACAACTCAAAATTTTTTTCTTTAGAAAAGGGAATACATTTTTTACAAATTCTGAAACATAAAAAAAGACAACGTTTTTTTTTCTTGAACAGTTAACAACAACAAAATACAATAATATTTTTTAGAGATAAACAAGTATCTTATGCTTAGTTTAAGGCTTAAACTTATAAAGAATATAAAAACGCAAAAATAAATTTTTGAGTTGAGGGTTGTCAATTATTTGTGTTTAAAATTATTCGAATAAAAATGTACTATATTTTTTTATTCGAGTAGTCGACTAAATTTTAAAAATTATTCGATTATTCGAAATTTATTAAATTTTTATTCGAATAATTTAATAAATTATAAATAAAACTTGCCAAACACCTTCAAAATCTTAAGATACGGATAAAAACTGTTTTCATACATTAATACATTTTTAAATCAGTAACTTAATATAATCTCAACCTATTTTAAATTTCTCAACGGATTTAAAAGTGGAAGCTGAGGCCTTTATAATGTATACTAGGGAGATCGACTCGGTTTTTCCCGACCGGTTTTTTACCAATTTTTTGAACATTGGTGAACTCGGTTTTTTGAAAATATTGAATAATCCGGTTTTTTAATGACAAAAAACCGGTTTTTATATATTTTACTCTATTTTGTACATTACATACAATAATAGACATTTTCAAATATGTTTAAGGTTTTTATTTTATATAAATATTTGGCAAACATAAGCATAAGCCGGATTTTTTTAACCTTTTTTTCAAAATAAAACAAGTAAGAGTGCTATATTCGGCTATGACGAATCTTATATACATCAAATCATGTGCCATAGATTTAAAGTAAATTATGAGCTTTATAGTTATTTTCTGAGGGGGGCCTTATATGGGTCGTAGGGGCAATTATGGACCGATCCGCATAAAATTTGACAAAGAGTTTTATGTTCCAATAAAATTTGTTAATGTCGAATTTCGTAGCTATATAGTAATTTTCTGCAGGGGGCCTTATATGGGTCGTAGGGTCAATTGTAGACCGATCCTCACAAAATTTGGCGGACAGATTTTGGTTGCTCTAAAACCTGTTTATGTCAAATTTCATAACTATATATGCTTTTTTAACCCAGTTATAAGCTTTACAGTTTACAGTTGGGCAAGGTGAAAAAACAAACTGCATCAACTAAAAATATTTGTCCAAAATTTCAGCTCTCTAACTCGTTCCGTTTGGACTCCACCGCGTTTTCAACAGACAGACAGACGGACGGACTGAAATGGCTAGATCGTCTTAGAATGTAATAAGGAAACAGAATATATACCTTTATGGCTCTTAGTCCAATATTTCGATGTATTACAAACGGAATGATGGTGGGTAAAAAAATATTTTATGTGACAGGGATTTTAAATATTTTTTCTATACTTTTAAAGATCCATTATTGAAAATTTTTAAAATTTATTAATATTTAATAATTTAAATAAGCTTAAAGTACATTACTAATTATAATTGAAATTCGATAGCCAACAATGTACACCTTCATATTTCTTAGACTAAGTGAATTTTAGGTGCATTAAGGTGCATGTTATAAATTCTGTTAAATGCATAAAATATTAATAAATTTAAACAATTTTTTAATATAGAACATTTAAAAAATTCGAAAAAATAGATGTAATGCCCGTAAAAAAAATTAAAACGGGTAGAACAATTTTTCTATGAAGGTAATTAAGCGACGTTACCTCCAAAATTTAAGTTTTTCTGTGTTCCTGGAATTCATGTTATATAAAAAACGCATATTTTATTGTTTTTATTTCTTTTGAATAAAACCGGTTTTAAGAAATATGATAAACCGAAACCGGTTTTTTGAAAATGCCATTTTCCGGTAATACCGAAAACCGGTTTTTGAAAAAAGTCGAATAATCGATCTCCCTAGTATATACGATGTTTAACTAGCCTGTTTTGCAGACGTTTTTATATAAAAAATCGTACTATTTATTAATGTGTTAGAAAACTATGTCTATTCATGGCAAAACGCAATTTGGTTTTTATTGACTAAGTTATTGATGTTTTTCTTAAAACAAAGATGTTCGAAACCCGATTTTCTTTAAGATGCGTTAGGGTTAAATATGCAATAAAATCCGTAATAAAACTAATTAGGGTTAGGTTGATAGGATGTATACTACATCAAATCTGACCACACAACAACACTATGGGGTCTGTTGTGCGCTGATTTTCATAAAAAAAAGGTTTATTGGTAAAAAACAACATAGCGTCCACTGAATGTGGAAGCTCAGTTTCCTAACCGAAATTCTTAAGAATTTCCCAATCAGTGTTCGCGAGATATATTCGGCTTGACAAAGACATTCTATCTGCGCTCAGTGTTTCAAAGTTTCCAACATATTCTGTTTCTGGTATGCGATCAGGCACGTCCGATGATTGTTTACAGCCTTCCAATGTGTCCAGTATACATTAATGACGTATCCTTTAACCTCATATCTTAAATATGTATGTTTCGATGGGAGGAATATCAACAACGTTTCTTGAGCCTTGCTTGGCATTGTGCTTATGGCACCACTTGTACTCAAGCAGCATGTACGCTGAACTCCCTGTTATAGTTTGATATTACACTTTTTGTCCAAAGAAGTCAACCAGGTTATTGAAGCATAAGCTAGAATTAGTCTAATTTTACTTTTATAACACCAACGTGTCATAGTAGGACTAAAACTCTATTTTATGCCTATAGTTCTTCTACATTTTGCCCAGCACTGATGTGCCTTTTTGATCCTATCCTCTATGTGGTGGTTAGAAATTGTTGTCTTTCTTGTCTAGAGACAAATATTTAAAAAACCAAATTAATTAATGTTTATATGTTTCACTTATTGCAAACATTTTTAAAAAAAATGAAGATAATCACTTTTAAAACTAGAACCATTTTATTTTTAACATTGCAAAACAAAAATTTTTATAAACTGCAAAAAGTAGTAAAGGTTTTGTTTCAATTATAACATATCTTTATATTTAGATTTGTTTTACAGAATATTTAAATAATTTCAATGCTATGTATAATAAAATATTCGTAAAAAAGAGCTTATGGTCATAGCAGCTAGTGCTCTTTAACTATAATTTAGTCTTAGAATTAAGTTCCTTAAGATTAAATAAACGAATAAATAAATAAATAAATATTCGTAAAAAGTAACATTCAAATATTATTCGAATAT